GTCCTGTGGTCTTGCCTCAAGGACACCTTCCACAGGGAGTGATGATGCCCCAGAGAAGCTCTGGGTCACCAACTCCCGTGACCTGTCCTCGAGGGCGCCTTCCACCAGGAGTGGTGGTGCCTCAGAGAAGCTCCGGGTCACCAGCTCCTGTGGTCTGGCCTCGAGAGATCTTGATAGAAGAAAAATCCTCGGAAATGCTTCGGGTCAGTGAGGAACGAGTTGGCTGCAAGGAAACTCCTCACAGCACCGCTCTGTCCCGTCCTGTCCAGACGCGTGCTCCGAGCACAGTGGCGTGGCTGCGTTGTCACCAAACACCTATATCAGGACGTGTCACAAAGGGCCCTTGGACACACTGCCCCATCCCATTGTCGATGACCACCGTGTCACAAAGGGCCCTGTGACACACTGCCACGTGCCCGGGGGCCTCCCCCAGCCCAGCCAACCTGCTCCAGGTTGCAAGGAATCCATTCCCTAAAGTGTCTCAGACAGCTGGACGTGAACTTTAGGAACGTCTCCAAAAAGGAGCAAACACTCCCCTCCTGTGCCTGCTCATGGCAGCAGAAAGAGCCCCCTTGGCTGCTGACGCAGCCGCAGCGGGAAGGGCACGGGGCCTGCACAGAAGCTGGCATGGCCTCCTTGGGAGAAATCCTGGCTGGTGGCCATCACAAACACAGGAGGTGTTGCACAGAGAAGCAAATACGTGGGCAAGGGCACGAATGCTGTTCTGATCCCTTTGGCCAGGGCTGCACCGAAAGTGGCAGGTCTGGCAAGTCCCTGCTGAAGGAGACCTGCCACTGCCCCAAGTCCTGGCAGGAGTGGTGCCCATCTCCTACCCCAAAGACTTGTGCCCGCTGCGGACTTCCCTGCCAGAGGGTAGCCAGAGCCAAGAGGCCTTGATGTCTGTGCTCTCGCAGGGGGCTGTTGGGAGGAGCTGCTGCAGCAATTGGTGGCACTGCTTGGCATCTGCCAGAAGGCAGAAGCTGTGGCTCCTTGCTGGAATGATTTCTCCATGGCAGTGATTACCTGCAGCACAAAAACCTCTTTGCTGTGAAGGCACAGAAGAATCTGGCATTTAATAATCCTAAATTCAGGAAAGCATTACTTCCCATTACTCAACACAAGGAGTTGAAAGAAGTTGCAAACTTCCCAGTTTATCTTCATTGGAAGGACCCGAGAACGTCACATATTTGGAATTTTTGCTTCCCCTCTCATACCTACAACTCATTTGCCTTCACACGGTCCATGGAGAGTCAGTTTCAAAAAATGAACAGAGGCATCAAAACTGAGTGTTGTTTGTTGTGCAAACCGTTTTCTATTAAGGGATAAGAATAGACTATTTCTGGTAAGGGGTAAAAGCTCTCAAGGAACAAAAGTTCCCTCAGTGTTACAAAAGCACCCCAAACAAGTGAGGATCTTGCTACAACACTAATTCTCCCTCTGGTGCAGAGGAAAGCCTTTGAAGGGCTCTGAGCAAAGTAAAATCTGTATTGGATGATTGGGAGTTGAGGGAGTGAGTGCTCCAGCCTTTCTAAGGCCTTCTGCCTCATCCTATGGACACTCAGGCGGGTGCTTTAAAGTTCAGGCTGTCTTGAAACCTTGCCTGCAGCCATGAGTGGGCCCCGGTGAAGTCTTCTAAGAACTGTGGGTTTCCCTTGGTGGTCAGGGTGAATTCTGCCGTGGTTCATATGGACTCCAAGGGACAGCTCTAAGTAGGAAGGAGAGAGAGGCTGAAAGTGCCAAGTGACAACTCGTGATGCTCTTGAGAAGGGAGGTGGGGGCTTTGTTACTGCACGTGTCATGAAAGCAGCGGAGTGGTGAATCAAAACGTGGAAGTGAGAGTAGATACACAGATGATAAAAAGAAATGGTTCTTATGGACCAGCTCACTGCTGTGGGATGGAGGAAGCCAAGGAGGTATGAATGTTAAACCCGGGGAAAATAAAACTACTCAAAAAGATTACAGCAAAAGCTAAAAGGCATTTCAGAAGGAACATCAATGCCCCCCTGCCCCACACCTCCCTCATCCAAAAAACCCCAAAAAACTAAATCTTCAGGTGCTTGATGAGAAAGGAGTACTCTGTGTTTACTTGGCTGTAGCTGCCGTTAAAAGATCTGCAGCTGGTTACTGCTGGAGACAAGATCCCTGAGCTTGTGGTGGGTGGATTTTGTACAGTTTGGCAATTTCTAAGGTGAAGCCTGTGTTCCTCCCAAGGGTGAGCTGTCCTAACTGAGCTCAAAATTGTCTTCAACACTTCTTTTCTTCAGCTAAGAGTGACAGAGCAAGGAACTTAAAAGCCTTGGAAAGAGACTTGTCAGAAGTCTGATTCTACAAGGTTTTTGGGCAGAAGGGTTGCTTCCCTGTGAGGACTGATCACATTAGTGAAGCTGTTCCATGTGCTCTCTCCAGAAGAGGCAATGGGAAGCCCCGTGCTGTGCCTGAGGCTGGAAGGAGCCTTGGCTTGGTGGTCCTGCAAAACTTGGAGCTCTAGAAGAAGAAAAGAGCATGGGGAAGGGGGCAGGGAGGAAAGGGGGTGGGAAAACAGGGGCAGTCTGTTCTGGCATGGGTAGAATGGGAAAGATGAAGGGTTGAGGTGAGAAGAGTGGTCTGGAAAAGTACAAGAAAAGAAAAAAGGAAAGAAACAAACCCCAAAAATGCTGCAAGCTCTCAGCCAGCCTGGGCACCATCCAGCTGTGGTGGGGTCATTCAAAGGACCACATTGTAGGGATTGCATCCTCATTTGGACGAGATCAGCCAAAGAGTGCCATGCCACAACGAAAGCAGGGCTTCCTTGTTCCCTACCCAGTTCACCCCATTTTTCTGTGAATGTTGGAAAGCAATTTCAATTCTTTAAATTCTGACTTTATTCAAAAGGTGCAATCAAAGCCCCAGAGAAATCTGCCCCAAAACAGAGCCTGCACGCTGAGTGCCAAAAACATTAATCAGCTGCAATTAAGGCCCAGCCGGCACAGCTGTTCCAATCAAATTTCCAATGTCGAACCCAACACATGCCTATGTCCTCCATGCACATTCTTCCGACTGAATGATGCCGGGAGATGCCCTGGCTGTCCGATGCGGGAAGGTACCGGCTGTCAAGGACAAGGTGGGTGGCTGGGGCAACACTGCTCTGGGTCACTCCTCTGGCCATGCAAGCACTGAGATGCCACAGGTCTGGCCAAAGGCAGCCTCAGCCCTTGCCGGGAGATGTGGGGGGATGGGGGTTGGAGCCTTGGTCTTGTCATCAGCTGTGTGTCTCCACCACGCTCCCCAGGGCTCGGCAGCGGCTGCTCCCAGTGGGAGCTCCTGGCCAAGATAGATATAAACATTTTGAGGCCAAGAAGTTCAGTGTGTGCCGCCAGGAAGCAAGCACAATAAAATCAGATGTGGAGAAAGGAGAGCTGATAGTGTTGAGAACAGATGGACATTTTGATCCTATGACAGGGAGATGGCTGGTGCTTTCTGTGGCTTAGGGATAGGCTTGAGGCTCGTGCCCTGAAGGTGTTCACTCTCTGACAGTCAGTGATGTGATTTAGTGTGGGACAGAAAAGCTGAAATGGCTGAGCTGAGGTATTGCTCCTGACAGCCTCAGCCAGAGCAGAGTTCCTGGGGCTTTGCTCAGTGAGTGTGTGCCCAGCTTCCCAGGCTCCCTGTGCCACTGGAGAGGAACTGCTCCTGGGACTTGTGCTAAACCAGTTTTCAGTATGGCACAGACCCCCACAAACAAGGCAAAGGAGTGAGCTTGGGGTAGTGTGCGATGGTTTTGAGGGTTTTCTTCATGTTGGCTCTGCTGGGGGTGTTTCCTCTTTGTCGTTGAGAGAGGCCCTCTCCTCTTGGGAGGCTGGAATCGTGGCTGTGCCGAGGCTGGCTACATGTGGGATTGGACTGCTCTGCTGCAGAGGTGGTGGCCTTATTTACATGACTAAAATATCAGTCCTAATAATG